AATATCTACGATTCATTATTTATTTATAAAGATTATAATAGTTAAGTAGTAACAACACATTTAATTACCTAAACTCTCTCTTTCTCTGAGTTAATTTTTTTTCTTTTCTCTCTGAACAATTTCTTTTGTCGTTGTTTTGATTAAGTGTCTTGTTACAACGCAGCAATTGCGTTTGTGGTTGCGGATATTTTTGGACGCGGGAGATTGCGGTTTAAACGTTAGTAAGAGATTTAGACGGCAGGCTCAACGGTTAAAAATTGTTACGTTTGCGAGATACTTATGATGGTTTATTACCAAATACAACAGCGGTTAAATAATAAGTTAAGAATATTTATATTTTATATAATTATCTAAATATTTAAATCATATTTTAAAAATAAATATAAAATTTTTATTGATAAAAATAGTATTAATTTATTTTTTAAATTAAAGAAATTTTTTTTGGAAATTTTATAATATAAATATTTTGGTATTTCAATTATTTTAATTTAAAATTTTAATTTGAATATTTTATTTCTATATTTATATAGTTTTCTGGAAAAAAATATTTTTTTTATTATCCCGCAACCGTCCGCAACCACAAACGCTAGCTGGAACCAGCTCTTGAGTTTTAGAGATTTAGAGCGATTTGAAACGGTTTATAACATTTTCGGTGATTGTTGCAAAACGCCAACATCCGCTACCAACCACAAAAGTTACGTTTGCGAGTGATGACGGGAGAACCTGACAAGCCCAATCACCGCTGGCTACTCTTCCCTTTTTTGGTTTATCTGATAGATCGATTCATATAGTCTTTGGTCGCCAGTTTGATGAGGACGTTGCTCTCCCTTTTTAACGGTGATGAGGTGAGGCAGATCCGAAGTGTTTAGGCAAAGTATAGACATTTATTAGAAGAAGGTTTTGTTTTTTTTTACTCTCATGTGAGGAACATGTTTGATGGCGGTGGTGAAGAAGGTATCGCTGGGAGTTTTACGGGTGGAGTTAATTATTTATTTCTCCATTATGGTTGTGGTCTCAGGTTGCTGGGTTTCATGGCGAGTCAAGGTATTCAGTTGAGTTTTGGAACCCCGGTGTATTCTACAGCTCCGATGATGTCGATGGTAAACTTCATAGAACTATGTTGAACTATATTCTAAATTTATAATACGTACTCAACATAAGTTATGTAGCTTTCTTATTAAATTTATTATAATAACATGTCTCCTATACATGTAAGTCCCTACAGGCTACATGTAAACCGTATAGTATGTTTCAAGATTATGTCTCACATAATCTCTTTTCGTGCTTTTCAACAAGAGCTAAAATAACGAAACTACTCTAGAACTTCTTTTTGTATTTAATATATCTTATCCTAAATTATTGGTTTTAGAATAAATTCTAAGTATATCCACACAATAAATCATTTAGCAACTAAATATGTGACAGATTTTCTTCCCTAATTGTAACGACAGTCCTAAAATATGCCTTATTTGTTATTAACCAAAACAAAATTAGTTAACCAAAAAAGATTTAGTCCTAACTAGCTCTGATTTATTTAACTAATTTGTCATGACTTTTAACCAATGCTTGACAAATCAAAACATTAATTAATTTATTCCAATATTGAAATATTAAATTTTCAGAAAATATTAAAAAAACAACTGGCTTAAGACGGCTTAAATAATTATATATGAAAATTATCATTTTTTAAATGTCATATATTTATTCACATACAATTTTAATTTGATTACAGAAAGATTTATATGATGAACAAATGTTAGTTTGTATTATTGTACAAAAAAGATTCCAAAATTAACATAAGAATTATTGCATTTTATAAAATTTTCTTTTTAAAATTAGAATCTGCAATATATTAGGATAAAAATCTTACGTAGTTACAGATATTTATTGTTTGTATTGAAAATTCATTTTTCATAAATTGATATTATAATATGTTTATCATCTGAATTAATATTCAGTTCCTACTTACAAATTTAAGATTGAAAGCAAACTTTTATCATTTATAACAAAACTAGAAAAACTTCTAATAGATTATTATTATATTTTTGAGTTTCAAAAAATAATATAATCTAAAACAATTAAAAAATCATATCAAAAAATTAATACTAAATTATTATGTTGATAAAATAATCTCGCGTTTTGGAAGCGCGGATCAAAATCTAGTTTAAATTAAAATACCACTTCCTATAGTCTAGCTAAGCAAAAACGATAAACTATTCAATTAATTAATGATAAATTTATATTATCGTAAGTGTTATGTTGTAATTTAAAAATATTCCTAATTTTGATTGTAAAATATTGATAAACACGCGTCAAATAGAATACAAAAAACTTGAAGAATGAGTAATGGTTATTTACGTTGTTGTTGTTTGTTGTTTGTTGTTTTAGTACACTCAATCTCATGCCCTTAATCATGATGATGACTTGAATTTTGTTGAAATATATCGTAATTAGACATATGCAGTCATAATAATTATTATTATGCAGTTGAATAGAGAAAATACAGTATTGTTTTAAGACTACATACAACATATTTATATTGTTTTCATGGACCAAAAATTTTATTAATAAATTTAGAATATAATATTGTTCGAAAGCTATCTAGTTATATTTTTCTTTATTTATTAGTAATTGTAAAAATTAAAAACCACATAAAAGAGTTATATTTTGTTTGAAAGCTATCTAGTTATATTTTTCTTTATTTACATAATATATAATTAAAATATAAAATAGTATGTAAATAAATAGTTTTATTTATATTTCAATAAGTAATATCCCAATGTATATCGAGTATGATAAATGTTGAAGAATATGAAATAGAGCACCAAATTATAAATATTATATTTAAAAATAAATAGCAATTTTTATCATACATTAAATTTTTGGTCCATGAAAAACTATAAAAGATATTTTTTCGGACAAACATTTCATATTTTAAAAATCCGAATGAAACGGTTGACAATTCAAAACTAAAATAAAATTACCTAATATAAACTTTAAATTATTGTTTGTAGAAATTTCATAACAAATAACAATTAAATAAATTTTAAGTATAAAAATATATAATACCATTTATATTAAATCAATATTTATTTATAAATATGTAAAAATAAACACACATGACGTATAAATTGGAACGCCTCAATATTATTTTCTGGGTTCAAGTGGGTTTGATTCTGATGTATTGGAATTTAAAAATATCCAAATAACTAATATGTCTAAAATTTCAAATCTTTGTATCAAAAAGAATTATAATACCCAGTTCGGTTCATATATTTTCTATCCAAACTACAAAATAACCTATACATAATGAAAACACCAAAAGTAATCATATTATTCGCTTTGGTTCGGTTTCGATTATGATGTATAGAAACATAAAATATTCAAATAACCAATATACATTTATTTATATGGTGATACATTTAAAATATATGATACTAATTCTGAAAAAAAAATCAATTCTGTTAAAAAAAAAACAAGATCTTGAATTTAGACCAAAAAAAGAAGGGCTTATTGGCCAAATAGACATATTTGTGAACAAAATTAAGAATATAGCACTGATTGTGACATTATTAGATCTCATAGCATTTGTGCTATTTTTTCCCGGTTTTGTCCTTTTTTTTTACTCGGTTGCCAGTAATACAAAAAAAGTAGTGATCCTTAAATTTACAAAGAAATTGAAATGACGCTGGTGATTATTATGGTACCGCAGCAGTGATAAATGGCTATCGCAACAGTACGTGTGAATAGTGGTGAAACATGGGTTGTCACTCCAAATGAAGCAGTGATCGATCTTTCATAAAGATTATTATGACTGCCATGATCAGAGAAAGAAATAATGTTATGGAAGAAGATAAACAGATTAAATAGAATAACATGTTAAATGGAATAGTTCATATTAATAGTATGTAAATAGAATAGTAGCAAATAATATAGTACATTTTGTTTAAATTTTGAAATGTCTATAATTATAGGAAATAAGGTAATGCTAACCCAATATTCACCCAAACCTTCTATAAACTAAACTCAAAACACTAATCACTAAACCCTAAAAGAAAATATAAACCCTAACCCAAATATCAAAATACACACATAGAATATAACAAAAACATTATAAAAATAGAATAGTAACAAACGAAATGGTATAGTACATATTATTTCAAATTTTGAAATGTCTATGTAGCAAGAAAGTAAGTAATGATTATCCCAATGTCAACCCAAATCTTCTTTAAATTAAACCCAAAACATTAATCATTAAACCCTAAAAAAGAATATAAACCCAAATCCAAATATCAAATTATCTACATAATACATAATATGAAGCATTATTAAAATAGAATAGTAACGAAATAACATAGTACATACTGTTCAAATGGCATAGTACAACCGAGAATTTACAAGGACGCCTTGAACATAACGCTGTCATGGTCTGTAGATTTCAAAAATGAAGATTTTGGATTTGGAAATAGTTGTGATGGTTATGGTGATGGTGAATCATTGATGAAGGTGAATATGAATGAAGTGATAATGATTATAAAAAAATTAATATAGATTATAGAAAGAAAAAAGTGCCTAAAGAGAGATGATTAATATAAAACGCAGTATAAATGATGAAGATACAGTGATGGATAACAAGGAGATAGAAATGGAAGAAGAGTGGTGGTAGGTAGGTTGGTAAACAAAGAAGAAGAAGATATTTTGATATTTGATCAACCGGATACTAAGGGCAATATAGTATATATTATAGAAATAATGGATGTACTTTTTTTTTTGGTTAGATATTTAATTATGCTTTGTTTTATAGCTATACAGCTCAATTTCCCAAAAAAGAACAAGATGGCTGTTGTCTTCCATCAAAGTAGGCTTGACTCATTGTCAATTTTGCATATTAGAATTTGCAATGGCGAGTTATACTCCTCACGGCTTCAAAATTTGAGGGGAAAAAAACTTGAGAAGTACTTAGATATCTCTGTTTCCAATGAAACCTTCACCAAATTGTTCGCCACATACCAAGATATAATGAATATGCAAGCAGGTACAATACTGGAATTGTGTAGCATGATAACACCAAAACAAAAATGAAAAATTACAAACATACAAAACCTATACTATAAAACTCTCATGCAGGTGGGACTGATGCTTATTCCATGCACAAGAAGCTCGAATGTGTCTGATACAACGCACTGAATCCTCGATAGGTATATACAATCTTCCCGAGATAAACTTCTCTCTTTCATTTTCTTCCAAAGCCAAAGCAGCAAGACTGTCAATCACAGAAACACAAAAAAAACAATGGTCAGAAAAGTCAAAAGACTAACTGGAATATGTTACAACGAGAAGCAATGAGCTTGAAGGACAGTGTCGTACTCTGGAAGTTTTCGAAGCGTTAACACGCGGGTGAGTCGGCGTTCCTGAAGATCCTCCACTCACATTAGAGATCCTCTCTTCACGGACTTTGTTGAAAATGTGTGTGTATCCATCAGCTGAAGCCGGGTTATTCTCGTCCCAATCACCAAACTTGGGCACCACCGTCACCTTTTCAAGCTACAAAAACAGTAATAATTAGATCAAGACCGATCAAAAAGAGAATTACGGAAGATCAAAGCTGACTATTGTTTTTTCAAAAAAAAAAAAAAAAAGCTGACTATTGTTCTTACGCTTTCAACAGCTCTAAGGTTGGGTTTGGACTTTGTTCTTCCAGTACCATCATATGCATTCTTATGCAGCGATGACTTGTCATAATCATTGTTCTGGAAATCCCTTCCTTGCCTTTTGTTATCAGCTTCTTTTGATGAACCACCACCAGCATCACCAAACTGCTTCAACTCGCTCGCTCCAGGGCTTCTCATCCGTTCATGCGATCTTCTAAGCGGTTCAACTTCTTCAGGTTTTGTCCTTGGAGGAGGAGGAGGAGACTGAGACTGCAAATTAGAGTAAGAGCCCAGGTCGTTAGGGTTCACTACACTGCCGCCGGGAGCTCGAGCTCTGTTGGCATTTTCAAAGTAATCTGTGTAAGGAACATCCTCTTCTTCTTCCCAGTTTCCAAATTTGGGTACATTCGAACGCTCCTTTCAGCCATAATGATTAAAAATTCAAATCAGTTCCACAACAAGAATGTCGTTCACAATACTTGCAACAGGAAACAAAAGGGTAAAATAGTAATAAAGATCATGGACCAAGTGATAGCAACAAGACAAAAGATCTTTGCAGTGCCGTTGTCGCTAAGATATCGAAACAGATTCAGAAAACAGAGCAGACCCTGTTATTATCTAACAATATGAAGCATACAATTTGGTGTTAGAAAAAAAAAGAACCATACAATTTAAATAATAATAGTTACATTGCAATCAAGAATCATAAATGCAACAATCAAGAAATAGATAAGACTAGCTTTGTCCAAGTCCGTACAAATAGACGGTTATAAGGGATTCAACAAATCGACACAGTAAGAACAACTCCAGAGAGATTGCAAAAGATACGAAAGCACTTGAAAAACTTACTGCCATAAGAGAAGCTCCAGGAAGATTGCAAAAGAGGTAACTTTAGAAAGAGAAAGGGAGCTGTGAGAACAAGGAGAAATGAAGAAGAAAGAGAAAGGTTCATCAAAGACGTTGACTAGTGTTATGATTGTCTTGTTTGACCTTTCTCCTTCTCAAACTCAATCTTCTCTAATTTTCTTTCTTCGTCTTCTCTAAGTTAAATAGAGAAAATGTGGAAATTCTCTTTTCGAAAAAAAAAGTGCAAATTCTCTCCTACAGTTTAATTAAGGATTCATTAAGATTATCACAAATTTATTTTTTAATCTAAATTTTAAAACTGTACAATATATAAGGTTTAGTAGAATATATTTCTTAAACTGTATTTCTATATTATTAAAGTAAAATATATATAAAAAGTAAATATAAATGCTATAACTCTTATTTAGATTATTTTCAAATTATTTTTATTTTCTCTAAATAGATAAATTTATAATAAATTTAAGTTTACTTGCATATATTTTCCTAAAATATAATTTCCATATTATAAAGTGAAAAGGTAATTTTCTTTTCTTTTTAGAGCATTTACAACTTATCTCTATTTTTCTCTATAATAGAAAAACTTTAAAATAAAGATGTGTATCCTTATGTGTTTCTCCACTATATACGCATACTATATTTTCTCTTATATAAATAAATGTTCTTTTGACTCCACATCTAGAAAAATAATATGATTTTATAATAGAAAACATGTAAATGTTATTTATTATAGAGGAACGCAATATAGCAAAAACTCAATTTTACTTTAGAATTTTTATTATAGAAATAGGAGAGACAGTGAAAATGGTTTTATAAAAGAAGAAAAAAATAACAATGTCTATATTTTTTAAGAAATACTATTTTATGTATTCAAAAGAAAATTAGCATGTCTATATTTTGAGAGAGAAAAAATTTTAAAAAACATATTGGAGATGAGTTTATTTATTAAAAAATAATTTCTTTTATAGAAAAAATAGAGGTAGACATGAATTGATTTACTTAAGAAAAATATAAGAAATGTTATAAACGTGAATAAAAAAATTTCAATAATATATGCACCAAAACTTGATAAAATAGTGTAAATATAATGATATAGAACCCACTGTCATTATGTCCATACAGTAATTCTATTTTTGACTTTAATAGAAATGATTGATTTTGATCATTTGTAATTCACACAACACCTTGTTTCTGTTTTTTATAAGAATGCTCATTTTAGCAATTCTCTCTTTATATCGGTATTCTTTGTGGATATAAAATTTTGTCTTTATTTAAATTTATTCATACAGTAAAATTAAAAGTAATATTATAACAAGAAATTCCTTTTTATCAACTATTTAATGTTCTGGTGTAAATATATTCATCACCATAATACTATTGATGATTATATGTGGGAATTATCATGAAATTTACTAGATTTTATTGAATATTTATTATTCCGACTGATTTTGGATTCAAACTCTTTAAGTCAACTTTTATGAAGAATGTTTTCCAAAAGTTCTACCTTCTTCAAACATTTATGAACAGTAATTTTCAACTATAAATACACGTATCTTTCACTCATTCACTTCATCTAAACATTTTATATTCTCTAAAAATATTTTCACACTAATCTCTTCCTATTTTCTCATCGCACGAAAGATGATTCAATTGTTTTTAATTTTATGTGTGATTGTTTTTTGTTTTTATGTACGATCCTTTTATTGGAAAATTTACTCCAGAAGAATTTACTATAAATATCGATTTTCCTTTTTGTGTGATATTTAAAAAAAAATCAAATGGAAAATTTTGAGCATCTTCAATTTCTGGCTCTCAAATAACTGGACAGAACTATGTTGCCACAAATATGAAACCCCATTTAATGATGAAAAAATTAACGGAGATGATTAACATTGGAAACAAATGCGACTCATGAGCATAAAGCTGAAGCAATAGTTTTCCTAAGGAAACATGTAGATGAAAATGTGATGCATGACTAAGTGAATATAGAAGACCCAGTTAAGCTGTGACAAGCTCTAGAATAACAATCAAAAGGAAATCAATCTTCCTCATGCTCTAGAAAAGTGCAAAAGCCTGAGATTTCAAGATTTTCAAAAATGGAAAATTATTGTTCTACGATTCTGAGAATAGTTATATAATTAAAGTATTGTGCTAATTTCGTCTCTGGAGCACAAATGCTCGAGAAGACATACCTCACTTTCCACAAAGAACATCTTGACCTACTCCAAATTTACATAAAATTTGGATACACGATATTTGTGAATTGATGGTTACTGTCATGTTGGCTGAGAAGAACAATGATCTCCTGATTAAAAAACATAATTCCTGACCTACAAAAGCCAATGCATTATGTAACAACCCGTTCCCGTAATATTTTACTTTCATTGACAAAGGTTTGAGGGGGTTTCTGCGCCGTAGAGATTTATTTTCTAAGCGTTGAAATGCTGGTAGTCATTGAAGGTTCGGACGAATATACTGGATATTAACTAAGCGTCGGATGTGCAGTGAGAAATTGGAACAATTGCCGTTCATGCGGGAAGACGATAAACTGAGTATTCAATGATCAAGGCCTAATTAAGGAAAGGAAAAAAACCACAAAGTTTATTAAGAAAGGTTTGGATATCAGGAAAAGCATGTTCCAAGAGAGTAAATATTGTAAGGATCATTATTGTGGGATTATGCGAAAGAAAATGTCTGATCTCAGGAATTGCTTAAGGAAAGAATCATAAAGATGAGTCAGACCATTTATAGCGATCATTGACCAATTCAGATTAGGAAACTGGCATTATGTGTCTGACTTGGTGAGGGAACTTGCAAAATCTTATTTAAGGACATCTTGATCTCTCATTTTCTCACAACTCATAAAACGAGTCTTGGATAGCGGTCAGAGAAAGAATATGGCTTTAGAAAGAAAGTTCAGGAACAGAGGACCAAGCAAGGAGGATCACATGAATATACACCAGAAAGTGCAGCCAAGTTCGGAATCTACAATATTTCAAGATCAATCCATGCGAGGATGTGATTCATGACAACTTGCAAGCATAGATTTTTAGCAAATTAGATCTGGATGTGCTAGGGTGTATGAATGCATAATGCATTTTATGGAAAGTTCATTCTTCGTTCCTTGAAGTAATCTTCAGAGTTCAAAGAATGTTCTTTGTGTTCTTAGGATATGGCATGATAGATTTTGTGTATTGATTGTCGGGTTGGATGGAAATGTTTATATGAAAACGTAGAAAGTTATTTAAAATGAAATGGCATGTCAGATAGAAAAGGTTAAGGAAATGTAATAAGAAAGAGATAAAATAAAGAAATTGCAAAATTATATGTTACGGCTTTGGACGTTAAAAGATATAATGTATGTATATTCTGGCTTTGGATTGTATGTTAGCTTTGGTCGTTTTGAACCTATGGGGTTATGTGGCTTTGGGCCATTAGCTTTGGACCATGTGAGGGACTGATGGATCAAATGGCTTTGGGCGTGTATGATTGGCTTTGAGCTGTGTGTGATTGGCTTCGGGTCGTAAGTGACCTTTGGGAACGAGAATAAGTAGAAATGATTAAGTGAATAGAAATGCGTAGGAAGTACCAAGTTAAGATAAATGACTAGTAAAAAGGATAATGGTTAAGTAATGGAATTGTAGGATTGGTATCTAGTATGGAATTCACTGCTTGATGTTAGGTATTGTTACGAGTTGCATGTGGGTGGTTTTTAGCCTCCTCACTGAGTATTTTTGTATACTCACACTTCTTTTTGTGATGCATGTAAGGTTTGATTGTGTTGTCTGCCATGCGGGCTATAAAGACCATCATGAAGTGAACTTTGGGTAATGATTTGAAAACCTTGATCAAAGATTCATTTTGTAATGCTATGTATTTTTACTATTTGTTCTTGAATTTTACCAATAAAGTTCCAGTATTTCCTTGTATTCATCTTTTAAAAATTGGTTTGAAGTTTACTTAGATTTTTTAATGTGTTTTGAAAAATTCCTATGTTAAAGTGTTTCAATTTGGTATTAGAGCGGGTAGCCCAATTAGTTCTGTCTTGGATGGCCTTTTTTGAAAATAGGATTTGTGGGTAAGGGTGAAAAAGAACTCATGGTCTATTTCTCACGCAAAAATGTGTGTTTATGATGTTGCAAAGGTATATAGTGGTATGTGTTTATGTTTGGAATGCTTAGAAAACTAGCTATGAGAAATTGTGTTCAAAGAATTGCAACTAGCTTAACGAAATATGCTTAAACTCATGCATGATGCATCGAGACCTGTCCACTATGGTGAAGGAGTGGATACGATGGTAAAAGGACACAAAGCAACACATGACATGATTTGTTGGTGTCTACCTGACTGCTAGGAATGTTAGAAACCACGAGATCTCGCCGTTACACACCACGAGATCGGTGTGGTTCTCGGGGGGGGGGGNGGGGGGGGGGGGGGGGGGGGGGGGGGGTTTCGACGGGCACCACTCGTGGTTCTGCATCTTCTCAAAACCAAAATGTCGACGCTTTTCCTCCCGCTTCAACTCCTCCAGTCGTTCTGGGTATCATGACTGTTGAAAAATTGGTTCAACAGCCTGGTCGAGAGCATCTTCTCGTTCTCACTCTACATCCAACGGAACAACACCAAACATGGTTTGAATTTTTTAAATTTTATCTTTTTTTTTTCATTACATGTTGTTTGATTCAGAATTTTTTTTAGGTTCAACTGGTTATCCTACCTACATCGCCTTCCCTCTCGAGGATCAGGATATGTGGTTCCGTTAGTTTGTGGTATTTATTTTAATTTTTTTTTAAGTTATATTTTTAATCTTTGACATAAATTTCTACTAATTGTGTGTTTTTTTTAGAAAGAATTCAACTGGAATCCCCTCCATACGTCCTATATTTGTAATGCATTCACCCATAAAGTCATGGAGAATTATGGGAAGCAGATCTATGAGTGGAAGCAAAAGTGGCTCAAGGGAAAGAAACCGAAATTGATCAACGACACGGTATGGCTCGAGTTTCAAGTACATTGGGAGAAGGCGGAGACGCAAGACACCTCAGACACCAATTCCACCAACCGCAAGAGTGAATGTGGCGGGAAGGGTGTCTACAAGAACAACTTGGGTGCTTGTAGTATGTCAAGTCTTGGGGATCGACTAGTA